TTGTCAAATATAAATGGAATTTGATTATGTTATTGGATGCCTGAGTGTATTTGATCAAGCTTTATTCGGGACTTTTTATCTATTTTTAAACTTATTGGAATTTAATTTGTTACAACTTGGTTCTCCCATCGCATTCGAAAAATCATTTTCTCTATAGTTCTTACCATCTTTTTTTCTTTACTTATGCTAACCTTAATGTATTCAATATTGAAAATGAATTCAAACAGCTGAGGTGCGTGACTAACTAACTGAATCAGGCACGTTTCACTACTAAACGATGAACTAGTAAATAGTAAACTTAATTTAGTATCCGTTCCTTAATAACTTTGAAATTTATTGAAATTACTTTGAGATCGATAGACCGGGATAATACTTTGAAACAACAGTGCATATACTTAACAGCAGCAAATGGAATTGCATTTTTTTGTTTGAGTTTACAGGAAGAGAAAGAAAGAGAATATATTATATATGTTTTATTTGAATACTTATATAACATATAAAAATTCAGATAAGTATTTGACTTAGTGATTTGGCTCTGCTAATATGTATCCAAATATGGCCACGAGGCTCAATTTAGCATAATATGATAAATATTTAGTTGGATCTGCAAGGTCATACTAGGGCTTATTTTATATTCTGATAGAAATATCTTAATTAACTCTGGTCTAGCATTTTTATGTAGTTAAGATTAACGTTATGTGGGAGTTATTATTTTACAAAAGCTTCAATTTGGCAATGCTTTAGAGTTGCAAAAGTTTGACTATTAATTTGTAAAATAAAACTTGTATTAAACTATTGCTGCTATTGACATTTTAATTATAATCGTCACATTATTTAACTTTTAGATAATGAATATAAATAAATATATATCACCACTACAACCTATTTTTATCTAAAACTGTGTTAACTTTTGAAGTTTATGCTGAAAATAATGTCTATTTGCAATTGGATATATTATCCCAATAATTACTATTATCATGAATACATATCTTCTTCCTTTTATTCTAAATCCTTTACTGTTCAGGCAGTTCGTCTGGAACTCACTGCCTACCTCTATTCAGTGCGCTCAAACTCTTACTAGCTTCAAAACCTCTGTTAAATCTTACCTCTCACTTTGGTACTATTTTCCTGTGTTCTCTCTTCGTTTTCCTTCGTCATTTTTTTTCTGTTGTATGTATGCGTAAGTATGTATATTGTATATATATTAATTGTATATATATTATATATGTATGTGTATGTATGTATGTATGTATGTATGTATGTTATGTATATATTATATATGTATGTGTATATATGTATGTATGTATCTATATATGTTTGTATATGATAATATTTATATAATAGTGCGCCACCTACTCCTTGTCTTTTTCTCAATGTCCTCACCCAAAGGTTGTCTGGAAGAGATTGCCTTGCTTGATAAGGCCGCCTTTTGTATCACTTCTCATTAATATTTACTGTATTTGTTATTCCTCTTTACTTGGTGCAATAAAGTGTGAATAATAAATAAATAAATAAAATACATTAAAGGTTTAGTAAAGTACGAAATTGGTTACAAATATATTTGATTCTCTATAGACTGACTATTGTATTGTGGTTATTTTATATTAAAAGCCAGAGTTAGAACTCTCATCAAACTGAATTTTATGTCAACGTCATAAAAGTTAATTTCGATGCGTTACGTCTACCAGTTAATCGGGCATTCGATTTCTAGCTCTTCTGTTTTACGACATAATTTGGTCATTGTTATGATGCTTCTCAGAATGCTGTTCGAGTCGTTCAGTTCGAGAAGTTTGAAAATGAATCAAAATGTAACAAACTCGTATAACAAATTTATATAGCACACAGTTTTATTTATAGCTTATTGCTTTTTAATTGCCAAAATCATAATATCGGAACAATAACCTCGATCGTGTCACAATTGAATTTTTATTAAGGCCTATTAACAATGTACTTTTATGTCATCGAGTTGTTGGGCAATGATGCCAATGCATATGGATTCTCTAATAAAACTGTGAAACAGCTAAAGTAGCATATATATTTGTATTTTTGGATTTGCGAGATACCTATGTCCAGCAATGAATAGCTTGGTATTTGATTTATTCTTGATTAAATTATATTTTTTTGTCAAAGTATCTCATGACTGGCTCTGGCTCTTGGCCTCAACAGAATATCAGTATTTTGCTCTTCCCAGGGTCAAGCGAAATGTGATTGTGATCATTTCATGTTACTATACTGCACACTTCGAAATGAAAATTATGTTACCTCTTTTATGTATTTTTCTTTTATTTTTTTAATTCCTTAGTTTCTTTTTTTGAGTATGTACCAATATTATTTGTGTACTGTAGTAAAGCAAATAAAAAATATATGTTATCTGACATATTCAACAAATTTTATGACCTTGTTAATGTTGTACACTATAAGAGAATTGTCGCAGTTAATTTAGTTATATATCTTGTGTTGCTACAACAACCTAAAAAAAATGTTTATTAGCAAATGAAGCCACTGCGGATATTCTCAGGTACCGTATCTCGTTACTTGACTATTTGGATGTCTGACTATGACCTACACCGATGCACTAAAAGTACCACGTCCTTATTAAATTAAGTTCTTTTTTTATTTTAAAAGTGCATAGGCAGTTAATGGATTCATTATGAAAAAGATTTCGGTTACCGCTTAAACTCTTTATTTCTTATTATTATAAATCCTATAACAAAACAATATTGTTCCTTCTTAATATTCTTTCAATTGTTTACATTTCAAGGTGTTATCGCATTATGTATCCAAGTGATGTATTCATACACTTTAATGTACATTTTCGGTATATTTTCAACTCCACGATGTCTCGGAGCGAAGTTCTCCACTCCGACAATTTCGTACTTTCTTCACATCATTATACATTAGAGGGCCTTCAATAGGGCGTTACAAGTTTCATATTGTTTCACCTCGGGCCTTAACTGTTTGTTCCATAAGTGATATTCTGCTTTAGGCTGCTGTATGCTTGTACTTTTACTCCCTAGAAATATATTGAAATGATTATTAAATTCTAAATCAATCATCGTAATATCATTATATGTCGTTCTTTCTATATAGTATGATTTAAATTGTTGAACCTTTTTTAATCTTATTATGAAATTTTATTTTTCAGATATAACTATTCCTTAACTTTCATCTAAGTATTCATTTGTTATTAATAAAAAAAAAATCCAATTTCTGCATCCAGTATTTTCACTACTATCTCCCATCTAACGAAACACCATGCAAGTACAATTGCTTGGCAACGGATGTTTGTAATATTATAATTTTGTATATAAAATATAAGTAGAATCTTTTTAAAACGATTTTAAAACGATCATCTAGGTATGAAATATGATCAGATATACTTCTGTTATATTTATAAATTAAAGGATTACAGTCGTCTAATCTGATTAACAATATGAAATCGTTTGTATCTTTTGAAGGTAGTGTTCTATGAGTGAAACTTTTTATCTTTTGGTATCTTTTTTGGTAACACTGAAATAATTTTAGGCACTTCTCTTCCCTGTACACTTTAGAATGGAAATAGATTGTTTCAAATTACTGAAGAAAATAATCGAGTCATAGACACTCACCGTATTGTTGACGAATGGAACAAAAATGTGTTGTATATTATTGGTACTGTGGTCACCGTTATTGAAAGTTCTCCACCCTGCTGTAATTAGTGGCTAGTATCTATCTTCATCTGAACGAGATGCAGTGACGTCCACAGTTGGAAGACAAATGGGCTGAATAAAATCTGTAAAAAGTACATTATATTAAAGATTTTTTAATTTGAAATAATTGTTACTGTTTTATAGTTAACTAGCGGCCCGTCCCGGTTCGTACAGGTGGACATTTTAAAACATTTTAAAAAGTGGTTGTGACATAACGATAATAATTGGACATATAGTATCGCGAAGTTTTTTGTAGTTATTAAAATTTTCTTCAATATTGTACAACATACTATTGTTCCATCACCAATTTTGTTCCACAGCGCACGCGACGAAAGATTTTTTATAGCATTTTATTACACCTTGAGATACGTTACTAAAGTTTTAGTAAGGATCCTTAATTTTGTAGCAATAAATGTAGCCTATGTTACCCAGGCTGAATGTAGCTTTCTAATGGTGAAATAATTTTGAAATCGAGAAAGTAGTTTTGAGTTTCTTCATTACATGCATACACACAAAAATACAAATCTTTCTCTTTATAATTTATAGTTAATTTATTTATTATTTTATTTCTTAAGTTTATCTGTTACAGTTTTTGCCGATAAGACTTTATGACTGTTCTCCAATATGACTGAAGAATGTTCAGATTTGTTTTCATTATGTATTGATTTTTATCATTGATTTTTGTGCAGTATTTTACAAAACATACGATTTGAAAAAAACCAATTTAGAAAACCAAACATTTTTGAAGATTAATTCTTATATATATCAAAACTAAATTTTAAAAATTTTTCGATATGTAACAAACCTGTAAAAGGTGCATTCTGTCTCATCCTAATTAATGCGATGTCGTTTTTTCTGCTATTGAGTTCGATTTGAGGATGCAGGATGGTAAGTTCAATTGGAATGACGACAGGAGGATCAGTACAGTCCACACCGCCTCCTTCTATATTAATACAATCGCGACCATCGTTAACGGTGTCGTATTCTCCCAAACGAATATTTTTCCTGAAAATATTGAACTGAAATTAGATTAATGAGCCCTTGTACGTAAGGTTTACCAAAACGATGCAATAGGGAAGCAAAAATTGTTTATGGTTTCAGAGTCTTCAGAAAAATTTATATTCCCTAGAAGGTGTTTTATAAAATGATTCCTTCTGTATTTCAAGGACATCGGCTTTACTGAAACTGCTTTTATGCAATTTCAAAAAAGGAGAGATTCTTATTGCACCTGCTATTTGACTGAGTTATGCAAAATCATGGTCAATTTATATTATATTACTAGCTGACTCGGCAAACGTTGTTTTACCATATACATTATTTCGAGAACTATACATGAAAATTTATCCTACTACAATTATTAAATTCGATTGCCATCTTGCAACCCGCGATTTTTATATTCCGCAATAGCTGAATATAAAAATCGCGATTAAGAGGTTGGTCTTAAAAGCGTGAAATTTGGATTTGTATGTATTTTTCAATGCTAAATCATAATAAAATAAAAATAAAAAAAATTGTCAAAAAGGCAAAAAAATATATTTAGGAGTAGGTCACCCTTATCATTGAGGGGTATGAAAAATAGATGTTGGCCGATTCTCAGTCCTACCAGATATGCACACAAAATTTCATAAAAATCGGTAAAGCCATTTCAGAGGTTTGGTAACAAACACCGTGACACGAAATTTTATATATTAGATTATATATGAATGTTCATATACTAATATTAACTTACGGAGTTCTACATTTAAGATGGGCCCAACGACGCAATGTCCCAGGCGTCAATACGTATTTGCCACTTATAAGTGCTCCGTTGCACAACGCTTTGATGACTCCGTCTTTTTCGTATTCTATTAGTGCTAACCATGGGTACTCGTCGATTGCTGCTTCTGTTACCTAGAATAGAATAGAATAACGATCTTAATTACTAGACAAACCCTTTAAATTAATATGGACTATACTAATAGGTAGTTTCCTTTTTATTAAATTTGAAAAAGGTGTTTATGAAATTTTGATGCGACAACTGAAATCTAAGAGATTGTGATGTGATCTCACTCAGAAGCAATATTCACGTTATCAATGTTTGTTGCAATGGCTTTCCGTAAATCAGGATGTTATTTTAATTCAATAAAGAATATGCTTCATCAAGTTTAGTGCCTAGTCATTTTTAACTTTTAATATAAAAACGCCGTGTGTGCTCCGGTAATGGGCCTACCCTTCCTTTCCCGTGGGGTGTCATGAACAGGCGATTAAGGGAAGACAAAGGATGGGCAACAGCGTCCCTCTTAAAACCTGCTAAGCGTGGTAATTACTGGCAAAGCTCCCCTTATGGAAAGTCTTATGTCAAGCAGTGGACAGTTAACGGCCGAAATAATAATATAAAAACCCTGTTTTTTTACGGTGATCGCTGTAAAGGCTCAATTGAATTTAATGAAGTTTTATAAACAACGTTTGACTGTTTATACATTTAACTAAACTCACGAATAATTTTATTGCCACTACGCAATCCACAGCATTCAGTTCTTGGGTCTGGTGGGAGCGCGTTCATTCTGTTCTTGCAATTGCCAACCTGAGTTTCTTCTTTAAGAGGACCGCAGCACACGCTGTATTGTTCTGGTCCATCGCATCTGTAATGTAATGTAAATTTAGACTTATCAAAATGTATTCAGTATCATTGCATGTCCAATTAATATCTGATTTTGATTTTAATAGCTAATTAATAAATAATGACAATATCACGGAGGTTGTTTAAGCAAAGTAGAAAGTCCGTGTTTTTATTTATACTCGTACTTGTGAAAAACTTGTAACTAAATTGTTTATGATTTTTTGTTTTGGACAACGAATTTACGGACCCTCCGAGCGATGTTAGTACTAATAATTTTTAAATGATCCAAACATCCATTGAAAAAGTTGACTTGATATAATTGGAAGGATTCAGAATTTTATATAGTGGTTCCCAGACCGTCGTCAATTCGACTGAGCTATCACAATTATTGCTCGGTTGCTCTCTGCTTGTGCTGAGCTTGCAGATCGTTGTGCTTGTGTTATTAAGTATCGAAATAGTAACAGCAACGTTTGCGCATGCATCATTTTCCTGAAGAGTTTTGATCTTCATTACAGTAGGATTATATACAGAAAAAAGTTTTTATTTTGTAAAGACTACTTGATGGGGATAGTTCTCCACACAGACAACAATCCGGTCGATATCGGAATTTAAACATCTTTAGTTTGTTACTAAATCCGAATTTGCAGGAAATTTGGAATATAATTTAGTATATTTTCGCCTGTATTTTTATAATAATATACGCCCTTATTATTGTGTATTACTATTATATTCTTGACCAAACGAGAGTTTTAGAAATGGGCCGTCGATGGATTTGTTATAATTGTTTTTTGTTTTTTGTTTAAATTAAAAGTACCCGTAACCGGCGAGCGTGTATGAAAAGATTGATGAATGTGGAAGAAGCGAAAGAGGTTTGTTTGAATCGAAGCATTTGGCGTTCCATTGTTTCTGCCTACCTTAATGGGAGACAGGCGTCAGATATGTATGTATGTTTTTGTTCAGTATTTGTATATTATACATATTTTTTATATTGCTTGTATTTAATATCATTAGCATATAATAATTTTTTGTAAGACTTTTTTAAATTCTTATAGACAAAATTTCATAATTTTGTACTGCAAATGCTATCACTATAGGTTAACTTACATTGAATTTTGCAAATATTGCACATCTTCTTTCGATATCGATTGTTTGACCATCGCTGCTAAATGTGGGCAAGAATGTACACCTACGCATGTACCATGATTACCGTCAGAGTCTTACATTGCGGTCCTGGGCAGCATACCTGCAATGTTATTGTTGTATTTGTAAACATGTAATGAAATATTGTTTATAACGTTATATATAAGGAAGAATTAACGTGATCATAAAAAGTGATATCGAATCCGATGAAATCACCACTGGAAAATTAATTCAGAATTATTGAAAAGCTTACGTATGATTTTGTTTAATAAATTTTTAAATTTTTTAAAATCTTTACTCCTAAATTTACATACACACGTGTGTGTGTATGTGTAAATTTAGGAAGTAAAAAAAAGTACTACTGTACAGTAAGCATTTTGTTGAAAAAGAGTACAATTTGTGGCTTTAATATATTGGGTCATAACCTCAACATAAAAACATGAAAAGAATATCACAATTGCCATAGAATATTTAAAAAAATTTAGTACCTTTGGTGTTTTTCCCACATAGCCACACTTTGATTTTCTTAAAAAATCTATGTCTTGTTGTGTTCTGTCCTTTTTATTTATTATTGTAACTAAAGATAGACAATTCAGTACAGAAATGCATTGTCCTCTTTCACCACCAGGAGTAAAACATGACAATTCCTGAAGAAAAATTAAAATTAATTCAAATTATTCTGAGTAAGTTCAAAGTATTTGAAAATTAAAGAATTGAAAAGCATTTAAATATAAATATATAATTAAATTTATAAGGTCAAATGATGAATGACATGACAAAAGTAACATGATGCCCAAATAATGTAAGTAGTCCAGGATTATCTTATAGATGTATATATATATATATATATATATATATTTGCATATGCACGTTCGTGCTCGGTCTTGCTTCACCCGATGGATCATGACGGTAACACCTAGGATAAAGAGCACTTATGCAGAAGATTATTATTTCCCATCGACTTGCAGATTTCTCTGTATATATCTCTTATCTTTGTATTATTCTGTGGTAAGAGGGCTTTTTTACTGCTTACAGTTTACAGTTTGTGTAACATCCACAACGTAAGGTTTCATATAGATAATCTCAGATCTTTGAGTGCGTCTGATTTTGAGGTCTGAAGTTGTATATAAAAATCTTGTTTGTAAAGGTATCTAATATCAAATGTCTCATTCTTTATACTCACCAAAACAACTAGTAGGTATACCGCCGTTATTGGACCCGGGTTGTCCCTTTAAGAGATTTGCATGTGCTTACTAATGCTGTTATCGCACAGGTCAGGCAAGTTGTTAAAGGATTTTATATTGATTTTTCCTTCTTTTGAGCTTTAGTATTGTGACTTATTTATTTATTGACTTATTTTTTACTTATACTTATTGACAACATGGATTTTAATTATTTTATATATCAATTAACTTAACTTTATGGACACTCACTATTATATATGGTTTCTTTCATACATGTGTTTATATTACTTGCATACACCCACACTAACTTGCCTATCTTGCTTTACATATATAATTTACGTTTATATATTTAAAATCCGTTATAAGATATACTTAGCATGTAAGTTATTTTTTAAGAGCTGTGGATTTTTGTATAAAATAAAATAAAAAAAATCCTTTCTTTGTACGTACTTGTCTCGGTATTGATTTTGTTGCCCATCATCTTACCTGCTGTATTTTAGTGGAAAGTGAGACAGTAGCGATATTACCAAGTATTGTAGACTCTATGTCACAAGGATTAGTAACGAGCAAATGATACCTTTAGCAAGTATGGAAAAAAGTGGCCTCTTGTCATCAAGTGAACCTTATCCTACTAGAAGGTGACTTTTTGTGTAACGTTATCTGTAATGGGTTTATTTATCCTATATTTCTGCTATCGATAACCTAAACTTTAAAATTCGAACATCATAATTAGTTTCTGAATATATAACTTCTCTCCATTTCCGCCTATTCATACCTCTTACACGCCACAGCTGTCACTCTTCATTTGGTGGGGTGGTCGTTTCCCATTTTAAGTTGTATAAATACCACTAGATTCTAGTCAATTTTATGTAAAGTTATGTTGAATGGATATATCGTAAGAAATGTAAACTTTTTTTGCAATGTCAACAAAAGGAAATGCAGTTAAGTATTACTTTTTTGTTAAAGAATTAAAATCAATGTTTTTTAATTATAAAGCATTACTAAATACAAATTCCCCAAAACCATAAACTATATTGCTAACAGGAGGAAAACACTTACGTCCTTGCACCAAACGAAAACTCATTAAAGATGCGAACATTAGCAGAATAAAGTTTATGTTGTATATCATTTTTTCACAAATTAACACTACACAGTATTTTGTATTATTATTTATCCCGCAGACGTCCGGTATGTTTGTAAGCCGGGGTGGTCTGTGTGTTTTCCTCAATACAGTTTTATGTGTAAGGATGTTTCTTTATAAATTTAAGTTTGTAAATTATTTCTCTTTGATTGCCATATTCATTAAAATAATAACCCAATTCAGATTAAAATTTAATTTTTAATATCCCTTATTAATTATTGCCTAATTGCAACTGAATTCTTAGAATGTGTAATCACTACTGTTCTCTGAGATACTGGAAAATATTGAAGTGTTACAAATACTTTTAATTTTTTATACAACTTAGAATGGCAAACAAGCTGACGGCCCACCTGATGGAAAGTGGTAACTATCTATAGACATGAGCAGTATCATGGACATAACAGAGTATACTGTTTCACCCATGATACCCCATGCGTAGCCATTCCTATGAGGACTCCGGTGTTATTCTATTATTATTAAAGGTATTCATTACATCGGTATTTTTCAAAGTGTGGGTTGGAACCTCTACAAGAAGGTTGCGGAAGGTCGCCAAATAAAAAAAAAAGTTGATATTTAAATAAAATCAAATAACAAGATATTTTTATTAAGAAAATGTTTAACAAAGAACATTTTTTGTAGCTAGGCTAACACAAATTAACGAAATGTACCTGGATTGATGTTTGTAATGAAATAAAATACATGCAGATTAGGAAGGGTCGCATTAATAAATTCATAACATTAAAAAGAAGAAATAAATTTAAAATACTTCACATATATAACATAATATAGACGGATTAAATTTAGTCTTTATAGTTTGAGCACTTCAATAAGCACTTTTATTATATTTCAACCCATTTGTGTACCACTGACATCAAATTATACCTATCTTTTGATTTTAATATATCATCATGTCTTTCGTTAACTTAATTTAATAAAGCTTTATATTTTAAGGTCTTATTGTACTACGGATCCAAGTGTTATATTCATATACTTTGGTATACACCCCTGGAATATTCTCAGCTCCACAGGATCCGGACCGAAGCTGACGACCCCGATGAATTCGTAAATCCTTCCGTTCTCGTACATAAGGGGACCTCCAGAGTCTCCTTTGCAGGAGTCTCTATCCGTTTCACCGCCTGCACACAACTGTTTGTTCCATAAGGGAAACGTTTTCCTTCTGAGAACTGTATATCGATACACTCCTGGAAATATAATGCAGTCTTATTAGACTCTCAATGAAATGATTAACAAATATTTTATACTGTGAAGAAAAAAATTTGCCTTTGAGATATGTTAAAGAAGAGAATGATAAAGAGCGTTAACTGGACCCTAAAATTAAATAAATGGACATTGGAAGTTGTATTTTGAAAAATTCATGTACCAGGAAAATGTGTATACTGGGTATACTAAAGGATGAACTAGTCAATATTGGTTTAGGAATGGACTACGGAAGACGATAAGGAGTAGGAAGATTGCGAAAGCTGTTGGACAAAATGGTATACCAGTAGAGGTATGGAAGTTATTGGGAGATGACGGATGTAACTGGCGGGTTTTAATTCTTCAACAATTATACAATTTAATACTTCTACAGACAGAAACGCCTTGGTGCATGCTGTTCGCCGACGACATTATTCTTATTAATGAGGATGGAGCTGCGGTCTAGAGTAGGTTACTATAGTGGCAATAAAGTCTAGAGAGTTTTTGGCTTGAAAATCAATAGCGAACCAAAACTGAATATACGTTTTCTGATTTCGGCGCTCTCTCTAAATCTACAGTCATACAGTTTGATGGTGCTACTTTATCAATGTGCTCCAATTTTCGGTACCTCGGTTCATTTCCTTCCTTCATAGTTCAAAGCGACTGTGAATTAGACGAAGAATTAGAAGATGAGTGAATGCGGGAATGACTGCTAACAGAGAAGAATGAAAGGAAATCTATCATGTTGAACTCAAATAATAATTGGGATAAGGGTAAGAAAATGGTAATGAAAGACATTAACTGGAATTAGAATTAGTAATGATCATCCTACAGAAAGTTGATAAAAAATAGTAGCAGAGCCGTAAAGAAGGCAAAGTGTAAAGATTGAGAGAAAGACCAAGACATTTGATAGGTTATTGTCGATAAAAACATAAAAACTTGATTGATGACTGATATTCATCTTTATTTCTACAAGCACACGACATACTTAGTCAAAGCTATTGAAACAGACTCAGTGTTAATAGCCGCCATATCAATATTCAGACAGATGATATTAGATCTTATTGAAAAACTTTAAATAGGAATAATAATTGTTGCAACCAATCAACCTGATTTTGAGTTTTTTTACAACTTAGAATGGCAAACAAGCTGTCGGCCCACCTTATGGAAAGTGGTAACCGTCGCCTATAGACATGAGCAGTACCATGGATATAACAGAGTATACTGTTTCGCCCATAATACCCCCCATGCGTTGCCATTCCTGAGGACTCAGGTGTTATTCCTCTGTACCCAGTAAATTCACGCCATATCCCACCCTTCAAACCGAAACACAGCCATGCAAACACAACTGCTTCACGGTTGAAACACGAATGGGACAGAGGTACCCAAGCAATCGACTTTTGTACAAAGTCTCCTTGAGTACACATCTTTTTACATAATTAGGGAATGTCATACTAGTTTATTGTACTCGTAACTTCAGCCTCTTAATAGCCTGTTCTAAAATTTATCTCGGGTCATATTTGATTGCATTTGTTCTAGTATATTAGTAAGCCCAATTTATAGAGTGATAGACTCTCACCTTACTGTGGACGAATGGAACAGACACGTGCAGTTTAATATTGCTTTTCTTGATGGTTTCGTTAACTGCCCCCCAACCCGCCACAAATAGTCTGAAGTTCGGTGGAGGGGTTAATGTAATGTCCCTTGTTGGAAGGCAAATGGGCCGAATGAAATCTGTAAACAAGTTCATTAAACGTTTTAAAATTTCCAATAATGTAGGAGGAAAATATGGATTTTTATACAAATTTACTTAAGATTTAAACGGCCTATGCAACGCGGACGCATACGCATTGCCGACTCTAAACTATTATATTTTTCTCTGAGAGACCCTCCTTTGAGAAGTTCTAGGTATGGTACTCTACTCAGTACAATGTAATAAGTACCTTACATTTACCACATTTTATTTAGGTATCTGCAGTAAGTAAGAAAGCTACCCATATCAGATATTTGTTTACATAAGAAACTGAATAAACTTAATTTTGACATTCGATTTCAGTTCTTTTCTGCAGCAGTTGATTTAGTTATCTCAATTTTTTCAACAAGAAATTCTGATATAGCCTACTTTCGATCACTATGACAAACCTGTGAAAGGTGCGTTTTGCCTCATCCTGATCAAATCGATGTCATTCTTCCTGGTAGTGGGGTCATACTGAGGATGCGGGATGGATCTTTCAATAGGAATGGTAACCGGAGGATCGGAACAGTCCTCGCCGCCGCCTTCTGTCGCCACACAATCGCTTCCATTGTTACTTGTGTCATATTCTCTAAACGGATGTTCTTACTAAAAAGTCCAATTTAAATTAAGTACATAGAGTTTAGTCTTTTTTGCAGTTTTGTTTATTAAAAAGACTTACCTCTTTTAACAGTTTAGTGACTATTTTTACATTATACATTTGTTTGCTCGATACAATGGGTTTAGAACTATATGTCATACAGTTTATCATGTATGATCCTCCATTTAATTTGAGTAAACAAGTTCTTTAAATCTGTACCTTTATGCAATCAGAAATATCCTCGTCAGAATCATTGCAGTCACAGAGAAGGAACTTATTTTGCAATATCAGTGCAATTGAATATTAAAGATATTCAAATGATGATTTCGTAATAGTAAAATTATATCAAAATATACTTGTAATAAGCATTTTACATTATAATTATTATATATGTAACTGGAAACTTACGGAGTCCCTGAATTTAGAATAATACCTACGACGCAATGACCAGCCGTCAATACATATCTGGAACTAATGAGGGCTCCACCACACAATGTTTTGATGACACTATTTTTTGTGTATTCGATAAGTGTCAGCCACGGGTACTGATCGATAGCTGTAGCTGTTCCACCTGATGTCAAAGAAAATACAATTTCAGTTTAAATACTATTAATATTATGTATGTGAAATTTTGTAAAGATGTTAACATGCCTGAATGGTTATTACTCATACACGCTTATATAGTTGAAATGGATTTAAATGCAATTTGATACACATTATTCATAAATCCGTCAAACTTCTCATAAACCCATTTTAGCTATTGTATTTTCTCTCTTTGGTGCAAAATTCCTAATTAAAAAGAAAGTGACAAAACAGTGTAAATGTTAAAATAGGATTGTATATGGATTTAGTTTCTATGAATAAGATATTTATTTTTAATGGATGGTTTTCTTTTAATATCATTTTCTTATACCTAATAGTCATATGTAAGAAAATGTTAAGCTTCTTGAATACGAAATATAAATCAGAATATTCACTTGATGAAGTAGCCACTAGATCTAATATTTTACAAGTTGCACTCACCACTAATTTTATTTCCGGTTCACTGTCAACTCCACAGCACTCAGTTAATGGATCTGGCGGGAACGCGTTCACTCTGTTCTCGCAATTTCCAACTTGTGGTTCCTCACTGGGAGTACCACAACACACGCTGTATTGTTCTGGACCATCGCATCTGTAATTGCAATGTATTAATTTTTAAATTTGTCTTTATTTACCTATGGGCTCTATCAATCATTAAATTATTTAAGTATGTTATTGACTTACTTGGAATTCCGTACGTGTTGGATGTTTTGCTTAGATGATGGTAGTTTGAGCATAGCCGCTAAGTGTGGACACGAATATATACCAACGCATTTCCCAGGTTCACTATTAGGTGTGTAACAGTGCTCTGGACAGCATACCTGCAATGATTTAAAACTGCACATAGCTACACTAATGTTATAAAAAGGAAAGGCTTGATTATTTATTTGTAATGGATGAAACTCAAAAACTACTCAATCGATTCTAAAAATTGTTTTGCCTAAAGCGACTTTGTCTGTAACATAACCTATATATTATGTGCTTATATTCCATGTACTCGTGCGAAGTCAGATCGAAATGCGGGTATTCGGCTATAAGTTTTCAGAGTTGGTTTCAGATATAGACGGCACCTATATTTATGAAATTAGCAATAGCACATTTTTTTATTTTGTACTCTCTGAATATGACGTTTAAAAAGAGATGGAACTGAGAAATTATTCAGAGAAAGATTTCAAACGAATAACAATATTATTATATCTAGTTAAATACTTTTGGGAAGTTATTCCTCTGAAATCAACTCCTAATAATTTGAAAAAAATAATTCTGTTTTCTTGGACATCTATCGGGAAAGTCTTGGTCCACTCCATTGTCAAGTTTGTGATACTATCGTCTTAGTTTAGTTTTTAGTGTTTATTAGTTTTTATTTTTTAATGTCGTTTTATGAATTTGCATTTAACATTGCTTCATAATGTACAGATTCATGATAATTGTATTTGTGGGTAGCATCTTATTTGTCATGTACATACTTGTCAGAGTTTGCACTGACCCTACTGCGTTGTGGATTGTCAATGAAGTATTGTTTTTCTATATATTTTTTTTCTTTATAATAGGTGAAAATGAAATAAATCCACCTGCGTTATCGATTTACACTGGTTGGTCACTAGTGAGAGATGATAGATGAGGATAAAAGCAGGCCAATTGATCCATCGTGACGAATTAACCATGGTGATCTCCAGGGGGACCTCGTATATATAGGGTATGTTGCTAGTAATGACGCTGTTAGACACCATTACTTCTGTCTTTTTTTATATCGGATATTATCTCTCTGTCCATTACTTTGTACGTATAGATTTATAAGTAGAAAACTTAATTAAATGGACCATTTCTATATAGCATATTGATAATTATACACCAGTTCTCAAGTTCCAAAGTATCCCACCCTTCAAACCGAAACACAGCCATGCAAATACAAGTGCTTCACAGTAGAAACATGAATGGGACAGAGGTACCCAAGCAATCGACTTTTGTACAAAGTCCTATATTCCATTCAAGAATATAATTATGAAAACACACAAAAAAAAATCTAAAAGTATTGTTTTGGCATCTATTGATTTTATTAAGACCCCTTAAGAAGATGTACAGACATCGACTGTTTGCAATTTTATCATATCAGTTAGATGATTGTAAACACCTTTGGTGTCTGCCCCTCAAAGCCGCACTGTGACTTCCTCAACAGATCTATGTCTTGTTGTGTTCTCTCCTTTTTGTTTATTACTGTGACTAGAGGCGCGCAGTTCAATATAGATTTGCATTGCCCTATTCCACCGCTGGGAGTGAAACATGATTCTGAAAAATTAAAATATCTTTTATGAAAATATTGATCTTTCGAATGCCTTGATGTTAGTCTTAAATCGGTAGTATTAAAAATATTTGTTATGTCATCCATTTCGGCTAGGTTGTTTTAGATTTTTCTCTCTTTTTTTAATTTAGAATTAGGAGGAGAATTAAAGTGATTAGTATTAACAATTAGAAGAATTTGAGCATGATTGGTAAACGTGTGTAATGGATGCATAAATGGGGAGGTTGGATTAATGAAATCCGGGATATGAGATATCAGAGAATGCCACCTGCTAACGTAGAAGTTTTTTTTTTTACTATTAGGATTCTCAGATATCGTAGTTTGAAGACCAGGAAATTAATTTGACCGTTACTCGTATACGAGGTTTGTCCGGAAAGTACGTATAAAAGTTTTTTAAAAATTTTATTTTACAATTATTCAGGTAAATCAATTTTATC